CTTCCAAAGAAACTATTTTAGAATTTAACTTTTCAAAATCAGCGGAGGCTTCATTATTCTGGGAGTGCACTTGAGCCAGTTGTGCTAGTTGCATCTGTAGAAAGGTTATTTTGGCATTTAACTTATCAATTTCAGCTGAAGAACTATTCTGATAATTTTGGCTTCCATTTAAATTGGAAACATGCTCTAACCACATGTCTTTTAGATTTGTAAAAAATGCATTAATACCATCAGGAGTGACAGCACGCATCCATGTATAAAGATCACCTGATAAGTGATTCTTAAGAAATCCTATAGTTTGTACATCATTATCTGCTATACCTAGTAATAGAGGTCGGATTCTTTTTTCATAAGTATCAGGTGAGTTTGTGGGTAGAAATTTTTCTTGAGTTAATCTTTGAAGTGCTGACTGCTGACTACCTACTGTTTCTCATTGATAATGTGATCTCATCCAAGCGCGTAAAGTAGCTGGAGAATTAATAGAAGCATTTCTATTATATGGATCTTGGGTAGGAACTGGTAAATATTTTCCTCCCATCTGAGCTTTAAAAATATCACATTTGACAGCATTATCGAAATCTCCAGCATTTGCATTTTCAAGAACAGTCATATGCCCTTGTGCAAATGATATTGATTGAATAAGTCTATCTAAATAATCATCAGGAGGTTCTTGGCCTATATAAGGCTTAGTTTTTGCAAGAACCGGTGCAATCATAGTTAATACTGGTAAACGTCTAGCATCTGCCATATTTCCTAATGGGTTATTCTGAAGCGCCAAAATTTGTCCCTGCAAATTTAAAATATTCTGGTTTCTTTGCTTAATTACTAGCTGAAAAACAAACTTTTTACATAGCAATTCACCAATGTGAGTTTGTTTTCCTGCTATAATAACTAACATCCTATTTACCTGGTTTTGAGTATTGGTCTGCAACTGTCGGGTATTTTGCTGAAGGTGATTGACATTTCACTGATACAATAGCAGTTTAGCAAATTTTTCTCATAATAATTCTTGAATACACCTATCTTTATCCCGATATGAGAAACGCCAATGACGGGATTCTTGTCTCTCATTATTATAGGCTAGCATAGCTAAGTTCCGCTCTTCTTGAGCATTATCTTTTTCTCTTATAACTGCATCCCTTTCTCTCTCAGATCTTTCAGCCTGAACTTGAGATTCATTTAATAAACGTTATAACTGTAAATTCTGATTTCCACTATCAGTAAACTGATTCCTAAGATTATCTACTCGCTGAATTGAATCATGTAATAAGTTCTGATATTGATCATGCTCAGCTGTAACATTTTGTAAAGAAACCCGAATAGTATTTAATGAGCCTCTGATTCCATCTATAACATTGGCAGGATTCTGCATAGGTGTACCGGCCTCTCTAATATGATTCTCAATTCGATCTAATCCTCTATTAATATTTGTGATAAGATTAGCCGTTGTTATATCTAAAGCATTTATTGAGATTTTTTTATCTATGAGAATCTGGATCCTTGCTTTAAGACTCCCAACCTTATTTTCAAGCTCTATGATTCGACCATCTTGAATAGACCCAACCTCATCTTTGAATTTTTTATCCTATTGTAAACCCTAAGCTGTTTTCGCAAATCAGATATTTCTGATTTAAATTTCCCTATCTCCTCTTCATGGGTTAGGATTGTAGAATCTTGATATGATATTGTCTTATAACATTGCTCAAGCTCTTTTACCAGAGATCGAATTTTTTTCTTATTACTCTTATTAAAAGAAACTTCATCTCAAAGTTCACTACGAAGCTCTGTGTTCGTATCTAAAAGCTGTGAATATGCTGGATCAATCATGGTATTATTTAGCCCTAATTTATAATACTATCATAATAATCCCTCCTTTTTTTCGCTAGTCATTTAGAAAAGTCAAAGTATACAAAATTTCAGTCACATGATTTGGGTGAACCAATTTGCTGAAATTTATTAGCATTTTTTTCTTTTACTTTTGGGATAGGTATTTCTTTTTTTTCAAGTTTATGAAAAAAGGAGGCGAAATAAGTCAGCCTCAAATTGTGATAGATCCATATGATGAGATTGTTCTTGTCTGTAGGCTTCTATATTATAATATACCAGGTTTTCATATCAATGTGAAAAAATTACATAAAGCATGTCAAGAGGAAGGATATTCTTTTTGAATACAAGATATTACAAAATGGTTAAAACACCAATATAACTACCAAATCTATTGACAGCCATTACCTTGTAAAGCTGAGACAAGTTTTTCAAAGATTAAAATTCCAAATAAAGTCCATCAATGCGATATATTGCTTTATACTTATGATCAAGATGGTAGATGGGTATTTGTTTGTACTCTCCTAGTTATTGATGTGGCAACAGGTTTTAAGGAAGGACGCTCACTAACATCAAGAAATAGCTTAGAAATCTGGATTGCGATTAAAGATATCTATGAAGACCTTTTAACACCCTTACATGGCCAAAATTATTAATGACTGATGGTGATGCTTCATTCTGAGTTGAATTTTCACGAGGAATGCAACAGTATAATGTCCTAATACGTGTTGTTTACCTTTATAGTTTTGAAAGCTTGGCTTTTATTAAAGCACTTAAGAAAAGAATAGCAATATTAACATATAAGGTCCAATATGCTATAGAGGAACGATTAACTGATGGGGAGTGATCAAGGATATTTAAGAGAATCCTTAAGAAGTATATTGATTATCTGAATAACAGTAAGACTCGCCTTATTGGAATGTCATCAGCTTGTGCTATGACTTTGGAAGAAGTTGAATCAAAGCTTTCTAAAAACCCTAAGCGTGCAATCGGAAAAGATGAGGAGATAAAATTACAAAAAGGCACAGCGGTTAGATATTTGTTAAAAGTAAGCGAGTTGGAAGGAGACCATAGACATAGAGCAACCAATCTGTATTGAAGCTTGCGTGTCTTCAAGATTAAAAGAGTCATTATTGGAAGAAATCCACCACAACTAGTTTTATATTATCTCGAGAATAAACCTATCGAATCTACTACTCATCTGATAGGATGAAATCCTAAAAGACCCTTTAAATATGAGAAACTTCAAGTAATTGAAGAACCTGATAAGATTGAATACTCACCTGATGAATTTATGCGAAAATATCATCATACTGGATTTGTTCACTTCACTCAAATTGCTGATAACATGCTAATAAAAGCACATGAATATGCCTCTCGGCATAGTAGTCAATGCCTTGAAAAGACTGGGCAAATAAATGGTTATGATGTATATCTTTGGTCTTGCGAAAATGATGCGTATCAATGGGAGTATCCATTAAAGTATATTATGAAAAAATTCGAATGGTGTCCTTCTTGCCATCATAGAAGTAGTGAACATCAATGCCAATACATTTTTAAGGATTTACTAGGCAAGAAATTTCCATCATGTAGGCCGAATTTTTTGCATGAAATGCAACTTGATGGATATAACGAAGAGTTGCGATTAGGATTCGAATTTCATGGCAAGCAACACTATAGTCTTAATTCAATGTTTCATAGGAGAGGTCAGATAGATTTGGATGAACAGAAAATGCGCGATCAGAAGAAGTGGGATATATGTAAAAAAGAAGGTATATGTCTTATTAAAGTACTGTATACATGTGATCTTCTTTCTTACATTAAGCATATATTAATCGAAAAGGGATATTTGGATGATGCAAGTGGGTAAAGCAATCTAAAAATCGGGCAGAACATTTATTGCCGGAGCTTGAGAAATTGTTACATTATTTTTTGATATAATAATTAGTTAGATCGAATCATGAAATACGTAATATTCGCAGTGAATGAAGTCAAGTCCTCGAAAAAGTATCAGGGTGATTCTCATACACCGCTATGGTCTTTTTGAATTATAGTTGCAGGAGCTAGCAATTCAGGTAAAATGAATATGATTCTAAACTTACTAGTAATGAACAAATTTTACTACATGTTTAGGAAAAAAAGAGTTCTAAAATAGGTGAGCGTAATGTTAAATGTGATGATGTGATATTATGTGGTCATCACCTTAACGAGCCTAAATATAGTATCATTTGAAATTTTTATACATATCTTACGCAAGATAAATTCAAGTCATACTATGAAGATATCACATTCTCTACACTCACTCCTAATAAAATTCCAGATCCAAAAAAATTCAATGCTAAAAGAAGTACACTAATAATATTTGAGGATGTCTGTTCAGACCCTCCAGTTATACAAAAAAAATTATTCCATATTTTAATAGAAGTCACCACGAGAATATTTCTTCTATTTATGTCTCACAAAAATTTCACAGGATTCCTACAGATATTCGTGAAAATGCAATGTATATTGTACTTTGTAGTGGTGGAGGTTCAACTCAAAAACTTGCTGACATTATAAGTTCTTATATAGATGCTGATCCACACAAAGCTTCAAAGGTCCTCGATGGTTATTTGAGACAAAAGGAATTTGTGATCATCGATATAAATAAACTGAGATCTGAATCTTTTTCACTTCGATAGGACACTCTGCTCAATTTAAAAAGGGAAATTGAATTGTTAGGCAATACTTCTAACTAGCTATTCTGGACAATCAATTATCTTAGATAATCATTTACCTACCAAATCCCGAAATGTATATTTTTTCCTAATTTCTAGATCATGTTCAGATTTATTACACCTCTTCACCCATTATTTCCTTTCATGAGTTCTAGGATATATTTCTGGCTCTATAGTCACATCACTATGCTTCATATTGGAAAGGATCTGATCAACAAGAGCAATAATTTTTCTATCTTTAGTAGAAATAATATCCTTTAGATTTTGGCATCTATTCTCTAATAGGTCAATGGACTTTTCAGCAGATGCAATGGCTTTTCTCGTATCAGGAATTATACTCATGAAAAAAGCTACTGAATCTGATAATTAGATGACTTTCCCACCTATCTCTTTCAAAGATCTGGTCATAGTTACCTTACGAGACTTATACTGCTCTTGCAAATCGAGAAGCTCTTCAATCTTTTCTTCTAATACCTGCTTTGATATATATAACTTCTCATTTTCTTTTCTTAACAAATTTTCACAGTCGCTGGTAATAGGCTTCATTCTCTGATGCTCTTTTTTCTTAATATATTTTTCAACTGCCTGATTTAACATATCTTTCACTTCAGGATGAATACCACTCACCTGTTCTAGCGATAATGGGTATTTTCGAAATGTAAGGCGTCGCCATATATCTATTTTTATAGAACGAGGGAGTTGGTTAAGTTACTTCGAATAATATACGTGAAATGATAGTGTTAGTATGCCAGTCATTTCTTATAGATAATAAAAAATTCTGAGAATTAAAGAATTCTACGTATTTGAAGAAGGAATTCAAAGAATAAATTGACGCATCAGTTTTGTGACACATCTGGCAGATTAGCTAGAAATGTTAGCTCTGATCAAGAATTTCACGTGACATCACGACCATCAAAATCAATGAAAATCCGTCCTAGTTATTTAGTCAACCGTAAACTTGTTTATTCTTTTTTGCCAAGAAAAATAATTTGCCCGCTCAGTTATGAAATCTACTATCGGGGATACTTTATTGATATAGTAAAAAATATCATTGTGAATCACTTATCATATGACATGAAAACAGAATCATCACTTTTGTTTAGGAAATATTTTTTATTATTATACCCCAACCATAAACCTTAGCCACAGAGTACATAAAATTACATGTATAAAATAGATTTCTATTCTATAGATTTTTTGGGGTCGAAACAGTTATAGCCATTTCACCAGAACTGAGTTCACTATTTCCAAAATTAGAATCATATAATATTTTAGTAATCGTATATGCGACAGCTGTTCTCAAAGTCATTAAAGCATGTATAAGCGGATAAATAGAACTTGGTGAAGTTGAGTGTAATAGAATTGTTGCCTCCTCTATTAGACAATACTTGTAGATACCTGATTCTTTTTACATGGCATAAAGTTCTATAACATCGCCCGCGATGTTGATGGCAAATATAGATAACATCTGTCTCTTTGATGATTTATTAAATATTCTTTTAAGCTTCGATATAATTCTAGTAGTATCAATAGAATCTTTGAAAAACCTTACTAATTTTTTATGATCTCGTCAGCGCTTGTCTTGGTTAGAATTTGGTCTACCAGTTTCAAGGTATACTATTTCAAGTTCTATACCTTTTCCTAACTATACTACAGTCATATAATCTGGTTTTCATGCAAATTTTTAAGATCCTTTTCTTATAGTACTAGTCGAACTTCTTTCTTCACCCCTATTTGGAAAATTATATTAATTATCTAATGAGTGAATAGTGTAGTAAACAAAGAGGTATGTTCATATACAGCGCCTTTGACAAACTTACCATATATCCCATACAATAGGATTTCCAGGTAAATCACTTATTACTATATTTATTAGTGACGCAAGTACTTCGCAGACATATGATCCTTCATTAACCGGTTTTCCTTTCTTTGTATAGATGTCATATTTAGGCAATTTCCAAACTTTATTCCTACAAAATTAAAGATGCTCACCGAAACTTCCTCAAAATAATTTTGTTATATCCCTTACTATGTTTTTAATATAGTTTCAGTTAATTTTGGATTTCAGGGTTTCGTCGTACCCCTCACTATATTCTAATATAATTTCGGCTGTTTATTAATAGTTTTTTGGGTTTTGTCCCTCATCTTTATACAAAATATTTCGCCTATTCACACATTATTCATGAGCAATAGTATATTATTAGATGAAATCTCAAACAAAAAAATAAACTTACAAAGACTCTA